AATCTTGTAACTTGGAAGAGCAAGAAACAAATAGTGGTGGCAAGGAGTAGTGCAGAAGCTGAGTACAGAGCTATGGCTCATACCACATGTGAACTAGTATAGTTGAAGAACGTGCTACAAGAGATGGGGTTCTCGGTTGACAAACCCATGAGACTATACTGTGATAACCAAGCTGTTGTTCACATCTCTTCCAACCCAGTCTTCCATGAGAGAACCAAGCATATTGAGGTTGATTGTCACTTTGTGAGAGAGAAAGTGATAAGTGAAGTGATAACCACATCTCATGTGAGCTCAGAAAATTAGTGGGCAGATCTCTTTACAAAGGGATTGTCTCGGGGCAGAGTAGATTATATTTGTGACAAGCTGAGACTACATGACATATACTCTCCAGCTTGAGGGGGAGTGTTAGAGTACACAAAACAGGGGTATTTTGGTCATTTGGGTTTATCTATTTGAGAGTGAAAGGTCCGTTTTATTAAGTTTAAGTTATGTGTCCCATCACTTATGAGGGACAATATGGTCTTTCTTGTAACTATGTTATTGGAGATAAATACAAGTGGGTCAAGTAGAGAGAGGACTGATTTTCCTTTACTGGCCGAACCCTTCTTCTTCTTCTTCTCCTCCTCTTCTTCTTCTTCTTTTTCTTCTTCTTCTTCTCCTTCTTCTCTACTGTAACCTAGGACTAAATAAGGTTTTCACATAAATAAACAAAACTTTTTATACATAACAAGTAAATAGGTATTATAAGAAGTCATATTTTATCAATAAGGCTACAAATGGCCTTTACATTGTGGTTATGTGCATTATCATGCTGTGAGGAATCATAATCAACCAAGTTTCATGAACAAGGCTATAGATGGTTGTCTCCCTCACATAACATAATGCTTTTCAGGGTCAAAATGAAGTAAGGAACCATAATTAGCCAAGTTTCATAGACAAGGCTATAGATAATTATCTCCTTACATGTATTTCAATATGAAACAAGGAAGAAAAGAAAAATAAAAGGAAGAAAGAAAGGAGTGAGAGGAATAGATAGAATATGGTCTTCCATCTCATGTGGGAAGCACAAGGAGTATCATTTTGAAGGGGTGTAGGAAGAAAACAAGATTCCCTACCTTCTTCCTTTTTTTTATGCTCTCCACACCAATCTTCTTCTCTTTTCTCTTCCCACTTGTTTCTTAGTGCTAGAAATCCTGTAGATAAATTAGTACTAGCCAACAAAAAAGGCATTAGCCCCTTCTCCTTGTAGGAGAGGGGTTTATATAGAGGAGGGAGGTGGTTAAGTAACTCCTCACTCCTCTCTTCTTAGAGTGCCAAGTGTCACCCCACTTAAAATGGGTTAAGGAGGGAAAAGAAAACTCTTCCTTCCTAAGGTGACAAGTGTCCCCCCACTTAAAGTGGGTTAAGGAGGGAGAAGAAAACTCTCTCCCCTAGGATGACATGTGTCCCCCCATTTAAAGTGGTTAGAAGAGGGAAAATAACTCTCTCCCCTAGGGTGACATGGGTCCCCCCCACTTCAAGTGGTTAAAGGAGGGAAAATAGCCCTCTTGTTAGAATAGGACAAGTGGGATCCCCTTATAAATAAGTGGTACACCTCACAAGAAATTAATTAATATAGATATATTCTTTTAGGGCCTGTTGTTTCATTAAATGGGCTCTACTGTAGGCCCATTAAATGCTTATTGCATTACAAACAAGCCCAATTAACTTGGGGCTTGTTGTTCACTAAACTATTGCAGGCCCCTTTCTTTACTAAAATGTTTCAGCCCACCAATAGGACTGACTGGGCTTATAAGAAAGCCCTTTTTCTTCTTTATTATTATATTTTTTAAGCTGTGTCTGGGAGTACCTTAATAACCTTCTCCCAGTCCAGCAAACTTAAGGACTTAACACAAGCACAAAGGCTGTTTTTATTTTTGCTGTATCCAGCAGCAGAAAGGATTGTGATGATTTAGTCACATTGGGGTCTCTTGACGCTCTATAAGTGGTGTCCCTTACCAAATGGAACCCAGACCTTGGTTACCCAGGCATTGAAATTAGGGGTAGTTGGTCTTCTGTTCAACATGTGGACAGAGGAAGTTCTGGAAATGGTGGGGATCTCTGCAAATGCTTCCTTCAAGCTAATCAAGAACACTTTGCAGTACAAAAACTTGAGAGTTGCTCAAATAAAGATTGTAGGAGATAGGCCTGATCGTGTCCCTAGGGTGGTGGAGTTCATGCATGAGGGTAAGCAGGTCAAAGTTTGGATTCTGTCACCCTTGGAGCTTCAGCTATGGTGAGATTGCAAGGAGGAAGATGACCTGGCATTTATTGGGACAAGTGACGAGCAACTAGCAAGGATACAGGGGACAATGTCTCTTCACAAAAATAGGATACTAAAAGGACGGTGAACGAGAATGTTTATCTTAGAAGGTTAAAATTTATGAGCCTTTGGTGACCCTTGATAAGAATCTAATGGTTAATTTTAATTCCTTTTCCAAGGTGGTTTCTCAAGAGCCAAAGGGTCAGTAGATTTTTGTTTCGAGAGTTGGGGTAGCCGGAATAACTTTTAATGAAGTTCAAGTAGGGACTGTCAATGAGCTGTGTGGGATTAAGTCGAACCAATTGATGAGGCCAACTCAGTTAATCAAGCTGGTTCGCCCATGTCTTCAAAGTTTTGGGGGAGGCAAGTCTCAAGGTTTTTAAATAGAGGGGGAATTTTTAATGGAAGGTTAAAAGTGAATACTAGGAGGGGTAAAAATGGAATTTTATTTAAACATCAAAAGAAAAAAGAACTTGTAGGAGAGAGGTCTAGGGGTGCTTCAGATTTTGTAGTACAGAGGAGTAACAGAGAGGAGAGTGAAACTTGGGAATGGGTGATTACCAAGTTTGTTTGTGATTTTGAGAGATTGCATCAAGAAGCAATCTCATTTGGCTTGGAATTGGGAGGCTGGTCAACACAAGGTTGGGAAAGGTTCGAACGAGGAGCCTCAATGGATTGAAGGTGTTGATCAGAGTACATGGTTGTTGAGCATTCTCCCATTGAAGTGGAGGTTGATTTGATTTTGCGCTCATTGGAAGACGAAGGGCATTTAGGAGGGGACTTATTGGTAACGAAGGGTAGAAAGTCTTCAAACTTTGGCCAAATAGAGGAGCCACTTTTTAAGAAGATGATCATGGTGGTAAGGCTGAGCACCTGATTTCTGTTGTTGATAGTGAAGAACAAGGTGTGGGAAGTTTTAAGGGAAGCTTTATTCCAAGTGGAGGTGGAGTAGGAAGTGACAAAGGAAGAGGAACAAGTGGAAGAGAAACTAGTGTTGAAACTGTTGCATGGTCAAGTGGGGTGGATTCGAAGATTCGAAAATTGAGGAAGCAGTAAAAACAAACATTAGTAGAAGAGGTGGAAGGTTTTGATGGAGTTGTCAACACCAACCTAAACAACCATGAACCCACAGGTCATTCTGAGGTAAGTAGTAATGCTTAGGAAGCTGATCAGGTGACTTCAGGAGTAAGACTTCAAGAGGTGAGGCTGGGAGAGGAAGAAAGAGAAGATTTAGAGCTAGGAGAGAAAGGTAGTGGTGGTGGGGGAGATAAGGAGACTATTAAGGGTGGAGTTGGTAGAGAAAAAAAGGGTAATGTTGATGTGGTGGGCCTAAACAAAGGAGGTGGAGAGGTCGTCTAGAGTAGGTGAAAGGAGGGGGTCCTAGAAGTTGTTTCTCCTGCTAATGTGAATGCTGGAGTGGGTTTATGTGTGGAAGGTTAAGAGGAGTTGGTAGGGGAGGCGGAGGAGGGAGAAGGGTGTGAACTAGGGGATGTAGAAAGGATTGGGGGGAAAAATCTTTTTTTTCTTTTTTTGATAAATGGTGAGAAAAATCTTTTTGATGAAGGTTTGAGAGAGGAAGAAAGGGGTGAAATTAACAAGAAGAGTTGTGAAAATTTTAATTCATGAAGTCAAAGAGAGGGAGAAGAGTGAGATTAAGGAAATCGAAGAGATAGTTGTGATTGTAAGAAAGGGAGAGGTGGGAAGTGGTGGTGATTGTGACTTAAAGATTTACAAAAGGAAAAAGAAAACTAGAACCAAGCGGTTAAATGATGAAGATGGACTTGAGAATGAGTTAGAAGAGGAAGAATTTAATTCAGATGAAGTGATTATAGATGAAACACACATAGTAGAAAGGCGGATTGAGATTGAGGAATGGTAAACATAGAAGTGAAGGTGTGTAAAATGTTGGGTCTGGTGTTTTCTGAGGGTGAAGAGTTTGCAAGGAAGGTGTTCAAAGAATTGGATGAGAAGGGTAGGACGTAAGCAGATTTGAATTCCGAAGCAGTGGGTTTTAAATTATGGGTAGAGGAAGTTTTGAAAAGGCGGAGATCATCTGCAGCTGAAGAGGTTGTTGAGGAGCACAATGGCATGATATTGTGCTCAATCTCAGTTGGAGTTAAGGTTGATCCTAAATATGGCTCTTGATGGTGCACAATGATGGAACAGGATTTGTGTAGCCAACCCAAAAATGTTGGGCTTAAGGTTGAGTTAGTTGAATTTTGTGACATTTGCTAAAGACTTTATGTCAAGTTTCACTAAAGGCTTATTGTATTTGATGTTTTATGGTAGAACATTTTCCTTTGCTAGGTAATCAGTATTGAATTGCTTTACACTTGATTCTTGATTTTCTTTTAACCATTGGATGTATTACAAGATTTTGAGAAATTATTAATTGGATGTTTTCCTTTGTCATTAATTGATGACAGTGGTGCTTTTCTTGAAGATGCTGTTGTCGTTTCTTGTGGACATTCATTTGGAGGTTTGATGTTGAGAAAGGTTCTTGAAACGGTAAGTAAACCCATTCTCCTCTCCATTATCCCCCGCTAAGCACATTTGGAGAATATATTATATGTTTGATTGATATCTGCAGAATTCCACTTCCACATTTAACAATGATAATGTATTTCATGCAGAGCCGAGGAATGTTTATAAAACATGGTTCTATTAATGAGATATGTTAAAAGGTTTAATGTGCCTGTTAGTCATAGTAAATATCCTTCTGTGGAGCTTAAATTAGAATATGCAATACTTGTATTGTACTGGACAATGTGCATTCCTAGCTTTTCACACAGTTTCTTGTTAAACTTTAAACTTTGACTGGCTATGTCTGGGCTTATATGATGAAATTAATGACCTTTACTGATCTAAAAAAAAAAAAGATGAAGAGAAATCTTTGTTGATACCTGGTTTTGGGTCCATGTTGCCAAGCACATAGGGTGCTGTTCTCATTAAGACCAAGGTTCAGAATTTTGATTTCAATGGATGTTTGACCATGCAAAAATGAGAAACTTTTAGGATATTTGCTAGTTCTGTTAAGATCTCTTAAAAATCTAGAGAAATTAAGGAAATGCTAGCAAAAACATGGAAGTTGTTTCCGAAACTTAGTGATTGTTGAAAAAGTGTAATTGCACATTTAAAACTAAAAAAAACCATTGCAAACACCTTTTCTATATCAAATAACAGAAGAATAAGAAACTTAAACAAGAATACTGATTGCCGAAAACATTTTTTTGTATGAATAACAGAACAATTTCATTAAAGGAGAGAAATTTATAATACAAGGGATCAGTCATCAGAATGTCATCCCATCCCCCCAAAATAGTTTCTCTCCTACTGCTTTTGCCGCCCTGTCTGCCATCCCATCTGCAGATCTGTACACCCTCGAAACTGCAGCTACTCTGTCTCTTTTAAGCTCATTTATCTCTCTTAGGATGTGTCCATACTGCTAAGGGCACTTTCCTTCATTTTGAACCCATCCCACGACCACTTTTGAGTCCCTTTAAACAATGATGTTAGTGTAATTATTCCCGTAGAACTGATGGGACTATTGCTCTAATCTCATTGTCATGGCCTGCAGGTCCTGCGTAAAGAGTAAGTATATGTCCAATGCCATTTCTAAAATCTCCCTCAATTCCAGAAGGTCCTCAGTTACTTCTGCTGCAGCCAATCAAAGTTATTGTTTAAAAGGTGTGGTAGTGGTGCCCAAATGGGTTGAACAGTCACTCTAGTAATGTATGAATTTGCTATCGTCCCTAATTTCCAATAACATCATCAGTAGTGAAGGAACTGAACAAACTCAGTGATTTCACCCAATGTGTCACTCTCACGGTAATGAGGTCAATAAGAATTCTTCTGTCTTGAGACTTTTCCTTGAATAATCCCCCATTTCTTTCCTCCCAAATATCCCATAAAATTGCAGTTCTAGAACATCTCCATAGTGTCTTTCCTTTTCATGTGGGTAGGTTTAAAAAGGTGTTGCTGAAAATTAATTGCAAATCCAAAGGAGTCCAACAATTTCATCGAAACTTGAGAAAGCTTTGTTGATATTTGGAAATTTTGAATGTTCACTGCTGAACTTATCTATCATCATCATCATCATCATATTTGTTAAGTGTCATATCCATTGTTAAACTATGAGTCCCTAAATCATTTCTTACTACCTCAACCAATCTCTTTTTTTTTTGGTCTAGCCCTTCAATTTGTACTATATCACTTCTTATGAGTGCTGGATATGGTCTTCTCTACAGGTGACTAAACCATATCCAGCGCCCCTTCAACTAGTGTTAAAAATCTCCCTTGCTCTTCTTCCTCCTCATCCCCCTCCTCTCAAGGAGATCTATGCCTCCTTATGTTCAGGAAGCTTATGCCTCTTACATTCTGAACTACACCTCACACCTCTAGGTAGTGGAACGCCTTGTGTCACACCTCTGCATTTTAAATCATATGGGAGAAGCTTCTCACTGAAAAGTTTTTACACCACATATTACTATTCAGTTACAGCTAGCAAAGTGTCTTAACTGTAGGAGTTAGTAAGATTCATCTACACAAGATTATTGGCAGGTTAGGCATGATTGGTATCTTCACACCAAATTGAGGGGAGTATTGAGTTGTACAGATAAAATTGCATTTTTGATGTACCCAATTGATGCAAGTGCTTATAAGAAGATTTTAAGCAAGTCTCAACAAAAGAAATTGAAGAAAAAGGGTCAAATAGTAGACTTGCAGAATGCATCGTCAACTGGAAAAGAACTGTTTCACTGGTCAAATGTTGTTTGATTTGGCTGGATTTGGTGGCACGAGTGTACACTTACAGAACTTCAACACTGTAGAATTTCAGCTCAACCCAACATGTTAAAGTGCCCCAACTAACAACTTTAAGTTGGCTGGATTTTGTGTTCTGCAAGTCATGGTCAATGTCCTAGTCAACAACTGTCTATGGAGCAGTTGGGCAATGAGCTTATCAAACCTGCAACCAACCTAGGAATATAGATCCATGTGTTAAGGTGGAAATCCCTGATTTTCTGGTGAAGAAGCACTGGAAGAAGTGTTGGACTGGTCAATGCTGTAAAGAGTCTTTCATTCTTTTGAACCTTCGGAAGACAAGAAGGTTAAGCATGTGGTGATACGATTGAAAGGCTATGCTTTAGCTTGATGGCAACAAGTTCAAGCAACAAGGCTACATCATGGGAAGACAAAAATTCAAAATTGGGAGAAGATGCAAAAGGTCATTAGAGGACAATTCCTACCACTGAATTATGAAGGCTATCTATTTTAGCAATATCAGAATTTGTGCCAAGGAAACAGGTCAGTTCGAGACTATATTAATGATTTTTATAAGATAAAAACTAGAGCAAATCTTAGTGAGCCTGAAATACAAACCATCCAAAGGTATATTATGGAGCTGAAAGTGAGCATTTGTCACTTAGTTGAGTGCAACCCTGCTGGACATTGGCAGCAGCAGTTCAGCTCACAACGAAGGTTGAAAACCAGCTCTCACAAGCTAGTTGTCGACCTCCAAACACTACCTTTAACAAAAGTAAAGCTGTAGTTTCCACCAATGCCTAGGGCAATGAATTATTTGTTATAAATGCAGGTGTAGGTACATAGTGCTCACTCAGTCCTTCAAAGTACAGAAGACATTAAATTAATACCATATGAACTTATAACGCATCGCACGCTCGCGATAAACACACGGTTCATCGCACGTTCGCAATGGACTTGTACTTAATACAAGCCTAAAACATGTTCTAGTTAAATCTGCGATGAACCTTGACTGCGCACGACTCTGCAATAAACCTCAGAGACACACGGTCCAGCGATGAACTCCAGAGGAGGCGAGGAGCACGGTCTTACAATAAACCCTGGACCGATACGGATTCCCGGTTCGTTAAGAACCGGGCTTAAATACTAAGCGCATGTGTTCTAAGTAGCGTGCGTAATAGGGCGCCACGTAGGTTTAGTAAAGGGGCTGCCCGCTACGCAATGACGTTAGTAGCGCCACATCGGTCAAGTAAGGTGCAAAAAGGTTGTAGTACACGTGGGTTATGAGAATCCTCGGGTGAAAGGAAAGTCAACCCTTGAGAGATCTCAAAAGAACATGTGGTGAAACTCTAGTAATGCTCCTTAATGACCGATAGCGGATCTAATATTCTCTTTCCTAGTAGAAAACGAGCACTTTTGGCTCCTTCCTTTCGGGACCTCGGGATCCTTGCCTATAAATAAAGATCCTCCTCCTAACGAAAGGGATTCATTCAACTCTTGATCAACCCTATCATTGGATTCCCTGCTTAGCCGTCTCATAACTCCCCTTGCCCTAGCCTCCCGGTTGATTCTCTTCTCCTGGTCTTCCTTTGTCCTTCAAGGAGACCACTCCCACATTGCCTGGCCACCTCCTACTTACAGCAGGGAATAGGGGCAAGTTACTTTGGCAAGAGAGGAAGAAGAACATATTTGATGATGAACTTGAAGGAGATGATCCACTTGCTGAGTTATTAGACCAACGTGAAGAAGAAAAGATCCATGATGATTGTGATGCACTAGTTCTAGTAGTTAGGCACATTCTTTATACCCTTAAGGCAACTGAAGAAGAGTGGCTAAGGAGGAACATCTTCAAGACGTGGTGTACAACAAGTGGAAGACTATGCAATGTTATTATTGATAGTGGTAGCTGTAAGAATCTTGTGTCTCAAGAAATGGTCACTAAATTGAATCTCAAAACTGAACTGCATGCCAAGCCCTATTGCATTGTATGGTTCAAGAAAGGAGAACCTAAGGTGACTAAGCAGTGCTAATTTCTTATTCCATAGGCCAGAAATGCAAAGACAAGGTTTTATGTGATGTAGAGATGGAAGAAGCATGTCATTTACTCTTAGACAGGACATTGCAATTTGATAGGAAGACAGTTCATTTAGGAGACAAGAACACCCATTCCTTCTTTAAGGATGGGCAGAAAATTGTTCTTGCACCAATTAAGGATGAGGAGTTTCCAAAATCCTTCAAGGAGGAGGGAAAACAGGTGCTGACCACCCAAAAATTTGAAGCAACTTGCAAGAGAGTGGCATAACATATGTGCTACTTGTTCAAGAAGTGAAAGAGGAAAAGCAACTTGATATTCCCAATGAAGTTCAGCCACTACTAGAAGAATACAAGGAAATTATCCCTGCAGATTTGCCTGGTGGATTGCCCCCTATTAGGAGTATCCAACACCACATTGATTTAGTTCCCGATGCCAGTCTACCCAACTTGCCACATTATAGGATGAGCCCCAAGGAGCATAAGGATCTGCAAAGACAAAGTTTATGAATTATTAAGAAGGGATTTATTTGGGAATCAATGAGCCCATGTTCCGTACCAGCCTTGTTGTCGCCAAAGAAGGATGGAACATGGAGAATGTGTGTGAACGGCCATGCCATCAACAAGATCACTATTAAGTACTGATTTCCAATAGCTTGATTAGATGACATGTTAGGCTTGCTTCATGGTGCCAAAGTATTCTCCAAGGTTGACTTGAAAAGTGGCTACCATCAAACCAGAATTCAAGAAGATGATTAGTGAAAGACAACTTCCAAGACATGAGATGATCTTTATGAGTGGTTAGTAATGCCTTTTGGTTTATCTAATGCTCTTAGCACTTTCATGTGTGTAATTAATCAAGTCCAAAAACCATTTATTGGGAGGTTCTAATTGTTTATTTTGATGACTCTTATGTATAGTCCTTTTAAAGAGGCTCATATACAATATCTAAGGGAAGTGCTAGAGACTCTATGCCAAGAATAACTCAATGCCAACTTGAAATAGTGTCATTTTCTAACAGACCAGCTGCTGCTTTGGGATATATTGTGAGTTCAGATGTTATACGAGTTGGTGATAGTAAGGTGGAAGCAGTTCGCAATTGGCCTACACCTAACAAAGTTTTCATGGTTTAGCATCATTTCATAGGCGCTTTATCAAAGACTTCAGCACTATAGCAGCACCGGTGACTGATTGTTTAAAGGAAGGCAAGTTTACATGGAGTAAGGAAGCGAAGATGAGCTTTCAATTGCTTATGGAGAAGCTCTATACAGCACCCGTGTTAGCTATGCCAAGTTTTGAGAAATTGTTTGAGGTGGATTTAACGCATCAAGTATTGGTATAGGAGCACTTCTCAGCCAAGAAGGAAGGGCCTATCTATTCTTATAGTGAAAAACTGAATGCAACATGAAGAAGATACAACACTTATGACCAAGAATTATATGTCGTGGTGCAAGCACTTAGTCATTGGAGGTATTACTTAATACAAAATACCTTTGTACACATGAATAGCATCCATCGACCTGGTGGAAGGCTTGGTGGGTGGGCGGATTTTATACAAGAGTATACTTTTGTGTTAACGTACAAGTCAGGAACGAAGAATAAGGTGGCAAATGCACTTAGTAGAAGAACAATGTTGCTGTCTACCATGTCAACTTAGGTGATTGGGTTTGAATTTCTTAAAGAATTATACCCTACAAACCCTAACTGTGCTGAAATTTGGAATACTAGTACTAATGGAGTGCAAGGTGAATATGTCCTGGACAATGATTTTCTCTTTAAAGGAAATCACTTGTGTGTTCCCCAATTTTCTCTTAGAGAGGCTATTATATCAGATCTACATGGAGGTGGATTAGGAGGACAGTGGGAGAGATAAGACCTATGCACTTGCGGAAGACGAGTAATTTTGGCCAAAGATAAGAAGGGACATGATTAGGCTTGTAGATAGGTGTATCACATGTCAAACAAGAAAAGGACACTTGTAGAATACTGGCTTGTATACTCCATTACCAGTCCCAACAGTACCATGGGAAGATGTAAGCATGGACTTTATGCTTGGATTGCCAAGAATTCAGAGGTATGGACTCTTTGCCAAGAACTCAAAGAGGTATGAACTCCATTCTTGTTGGATTATCAGCTGTGAGAAGGCAGCCGATGCTTCTAATATTGCTAATGTGTACTTCCAAGAAGTGGTTCGTTTGCATGGGATTCCTAAGTTGATTATTTCCAATAGAGATTCCAAATCTCTTTCCCATTTTTGATGTACTTTGTGGAAGAAATTTGAGATTGAATTGCAGTATGGTTTTTCCCACCATTCCCAAACTGATGGCCAAATAGAAGTGGTAAATAGGAGTTTAGGAAACCTCTTGCAATGCTTGGTAGGAAAGCATGCAAAACAATTGGAGGCTGTTATTGCTCAAGCTGAATTTGGTCAAGGAATCGTACCATAGGTAAGAGTCCTTTTGAGGTTGTTTATGGAAGGAAGCCTACATGTTTTCTAGATTTGGTTCCTCTTTCCGAAACTAGAAAACAGTGTTCAAGCAGAAAAGATAGTAGATCAGATGTCAAAGCTTCATGAAGCCATCCATTTGAAGATAAAAGAATCTAGTGCAAGGAACAAGGCATATGCAAATCATAGAAGAAGACTCCAGACTTAGTGATGGTTTATTTATGAAAGGAAAGGTTTCCAGCCGACAGTAATTCAAAACTTAGTAAGAAGAAGATAGGACCTTTCAAGGATCTTAAGAAAATTAATGACAATTCCTATGAGATTGATTTGCCTGCTGATTTGGAAATCGGTTCTACTGTTAATGTTGCTGATCTCTCCGTGTACCATGGAGGAGATGAAGAAGCTGAGGTTGACAACATCCTAGCCTGCCAAATACTCACTTTGATGGAAAAGATTATCTTGAATATTTAACCAATGGAAGGGAGATGACTTAGAAGATGGTTTCGGGATTTCAAGAGAACTACACATGATTGATCCTCATTCTCTTGAAGTCTTTGACTCAATTCACTCAGGGACGAGTGCTTTCCAAGGAGGGACTGATGCATGTGCTCATTCTCTTGAAGTCTTCTCCTTTTCCTTTTTCTTTCCTCTATCCCTCACTTGCCAATACACTCAAGCATCACTAGAATCACTGACATAATCTTACAGATAGAGTTCCAATATTTCAGAAATGGCAATTTATCAAAAAAAAATATTTCAGAAACGGCTATACTGCACCATAATGGCATGTTGCAAAATTTACAAATCTATGAAAAAAAGTGTTTCTTTTAGCATAGAGTAAAGTTGGTGGGCTGTAAATGTACAACATTTTTATGTAATGTTGTACCACTATGGTATGGTATTGCAACATTTACAGATCTATGTACAAAATGTGTTTTCTTAGCTAGTCTGAAGCTGGTGGCTGTAGATTGTATTGAGAGTAAGATCAGTGAGCCATATATTGTGCTGAGGTTTCGCTTTCTACTCTGTTAAGCCTGGTGGTTTGTCCTTCAGTTATATTGTAGGGAAATTGGTATTGCTATTCTTCTGTGTGGCTGGGTCCCCCCCATCTTATGTTTTCTCTTTTTGATCTTCTTAATATTTTTTTTCTATTTTTCTTGCCCTCTGTATACATACTATATGCTCTCTGCTTTTTAATATAATAATGTATAGTTTTTTTTATTATTAATGATCATGCTTCTATATGAGTAATTAGTTACTATACACAATTAAATGCAAACTAAAATTGTAACAAAATGACAATAGCCCCTTTTGTATCATGATCATTAAAATGGTTTCAAAATCAATTACACTCTCACTTCTCCATTTCCTTTTTTTTCAACAGATTTAATAATCCTGACAAAGGAGAGGATTTTTTTTTTCTTTTCTTATTTGGAAAGGGTGGATTAGAGTGTGTATTATATCATGTATTCAAAAAGTGTAATCATGTAAATTGTAGTATATACGCAAGATTCAATACAATGAAAATGCTTTAAGCTCCCAAAATTCTTGTTTTTCATGACAGTCCAGATGTAGCCTCTGCAGTGCCGAAATTGAAAGTGGATCTTTGATCCCTAATCATGGTAATAGTCATCTCCTTATACATACATCACATTATTTTTCCATCATCTACTGAAACTGATCTTCTCCACAGCCTTGAGAGCTGCAGCTGCAGCCGTGAAGCACGAGGATGATCGGAGACTCTTCCATAATGCAACTCTTCGAAAGCGCCGGAGAGAAGTAGGTGAACAAATGGATTCAATAAGGAGACTAAACAGGGTATACTTCAGAAAGTATTAGTACATCAAGAGAGATCTATACTTCCACTCAAAACCTTATTGGTATATATAGGGGTACAAAAACATTAAGATTAAGGTAATGGGTGAATGTAGTAACTGGATGGGTGCTGTTTTTGTGTCACTTCCTTTATGTTCCAATTAAAAAAAATCAAAGTGGCTTTATAAAATGCATATCTCAAGAGTGCAGTTGCTGTAAATCAAGGACTATGTCAACTGCATTTTACAGTAAAACAGCTGTTAACTAAATATATATGGTACTTTCAAACTGTGTTATCTGTGTGTGGGAAATGCTCCCAATATCTCAAGGATAAGCTTTATAGGCAGAACCAGAGAACCTTAAAAATTAGTTTTCAATAGTTTGTTTCTTGTGAATTCTATGGCCATCTGGGTTCCCATTTCTGTGGCAACATCTCCTTTGTCAAAGATCATGTTTTGCTGTAATCCATGCTTATGCATCATGACCATTTTAGAAACTGCCATGAGATGGTGTTATTACAAGTTTTGAGAGTAAAACTGCCAATTTACTGATACTTCAGTCACCCATTACGTTAATGTTAGATCATGTGATGGCAAACCTCTCCTTTGTCAAAGATCATGTTTTGTTACAATTCATGGTTGTGCACCATGTCCATTTTAGAAACTGCCATGAGATGGTGTGATTACAAAGTTTTGAGAGTAAAACTGCCAATTTACTGATACTTCAGTCACCCATTACGTTAATGTTAGATCATGTGACAGACTGCAAGAATACTCGATAAGAAACTATAGTATTAATGCATTGAGCATAAAATGTTTCAGGAAAATGGGGAGATGACTACAGATGGTGACAGCCCTAGACTACAAAGAGGGGTACAATATCCATTCTCTGTGAATGAGAAAGTGGTAATTAAGGTGATTTCTATCACAAGCTTTTAATTGCAGTAAGCTTCTGATTATAATGTATTTTGCCATTTAAGTGAAACTGCTGCTGATGGATTACTCGGTTCTGCAGGGAAACAGGAGGACTCCAGATAAATTTGTTGGAAAAGAAGCTGTGATTACATCTCAGTGCCTCAATGGCTGGTTAGTTCTCAAACCTTGCTTTTCTTTATCAACCGAATAGTTCTGTTGTTGGCCTTTGGTACAGCCAAGGTTTTTTTTCTGGTAAAGATACAGCCAAACTTTTTAATATATTAAATTAAGGGTGCAAATGGATGGAGTCAAATTCGGATAGGGGTATATCCAAATTTGGTTCAAATCTGATGGATATACATAAACCCCAATTCGACTTCAATTTGATTTCGTAATCAGATATCCTGATCCGAATTCGATTCGTCTCTAAGAGGCATACTTAAGAGGTGAAAATGACTTGAAGAGATTGGAACAATAATGGCATACTGATTGGAACTTGGAAGAGACGAAGACATAGAAGCTGGAAGAAGAAGGTATACCGTCTCCTCTGTTCCCCTTGTAGTTGCAGAGCAAAACGGTGATGCCAATCTCCCACTTTTTTATTTCATTCTGTTTATCTTGTTTCTTCCTTTTTGTATTATTCTGAAACCCCTTGCATCAACTAAAGCCCAAAACTATTCGCTAGTATCACCACTTAGCTAGACTGGATGAGCATGAATAGCCTCAAGAAGCCAAAGCTCTGCTTTCCAAACCTGTCAAGAAATTAGGGTTTTAGGAGTGAGCTTTCCTTGCAACTTGATTGGTTTCTACTCCAAACTGTGACCAAGGCTGTGTGATCTCCATGGTGAGGTAGCAATTGGCGGTAATAACAAGGAGGTGGTCTAACTGTCCAACCACAAGCAGATGATGGAGATGGGCAATGATGATATATGTAGGAAGATGTGCTTGAGACGAGTCAATGACCGCCAAGGCTTTGTGAAGATGGAACAGGGTTTTAGACTTTTAGGGTTTGGGACAAACGAACAGAAATGATGGGACTAGACAAGCTTCGAGTCTTTCAAAACCTGTTTGTCAGATACGTGTTCGCATATATAGTATATAAAATAATATATTTTATAATATATAAATATAATACATATTATTTTATATTATGTTATATGTGTATATGTAATTGAATCGAATTGCATTTTAACGGATCAAATTACGTAATATCTGAATTTGATCTGATAACTCAATGATCATATTTACCAATCTGTTCCGATTAGTTTAGGTGCATATGGATATCTGAATCCGGCTTAATCGAATCAGATTCGTATTCAAATTGTATCAGAATCTGATTCATTGGCACCCCTATATTTAATCATATCTGTTGAGTGATATGAGAAATCTTTTGATGAAGTTAAAATACCCAAAGACCTTAACAGCCATTAGACATTCTCTTTAGTCTTTACTCATGATGAGGCTCTAGCTTTGTAAAAAAAAGGAAGCCATAGGGGAGAATTTACACTCATGGTGGTTGAGTGTAAAATTACTCATGATGGTTGAGCCTTTCTATATTCACTTCAGAAATTACAGTGTAGTTGACAGCGCAGAGAAATAGAACAGCTCATCTTTAGTTTAGTTTATTTTCTTCTTGTTTCTTATTTCATTTTGAGGTTTTTTTGGGGGTTAGTCTATCACCTTAACTTCCTTCATTGGGTAAACATCTTAAACTTTGGTTTTTGTTGGCACAATTAATATGCTGCCAGTGCCAGGCAACAGCTAGACATTTTGACCTAGCAAGTCAAGTTCATGCTTTGGAAAGAAGCATTAAGTTACAAATTTAATTCGTATATCATTAAACTCTTTTTATTTTTACTTTGTTGTAGGTACCTTCTAAAGATCCTTGGAAGTGGAGAGAGTGTCCGCCTGCAATACCGCTCTCTGCAGAAGATCTCAAGCCCTCAGTCCACTGAGGATGGGCATCCATCTCAGGCAATCATTCAGAGCACAAGCTGAAGGGAACATGTTAACTCCGCTTCATCTGAGGGTGCCGCCTGGATCCTCAGGCCAAGTCATATTGTTGTTAAGCTCTTGTAAAGGGAAGAAAAAAAAAAGGAATTGAAAATGCTGGGTGGGTTTCATGAATGTTGTTACAGGAGAAACCCCAAAACTCATAATTTGTAAAGAAAGACGATTGATGTTAATACACCAAAACTCTTTCACTCCTTGCATGAAGCCTGACCATCAGGGGTAAATTATAGATTTTCAAGGGACCGATCCTCACACTTTCACGGTCATTTCTCTAACTGCCCCTTCTGGTGTGCTAAAGCCTTAAAAATGTACAAATACAACCCCATGGCTCTTTTACTAACAGTTATTTAAAAATATAAATCAATTTTGAAAAATCTTCTCCCCTAATGTTACGCAAGTAACTCTAATGAAAGTTTGGAGGGGGGCGGGGGGGTTCACCAATATGTATGAATTTATTTTCTAAATAATTAACTGATACATTAGCAAAATTTTCTCCCCAAATGGTACATAAGATACCCCCTTAGTGGCAGTTTTCGTTAACAAGCGAAAAGAAAGAGACCCGCACAACCAAGCTGAAAGCAGAATTGTAGAAGCAGGTGGTGTCCCTAAAATTTATTGGCTCTAAATCCTTTTTCGTCATTTCTTCTTTTCAATCGTAGAAGAAGAGGAGAGGTTAAGAAGGTGCTAAATACTGTTCTTAATTTTTTCTTGCTTCATGAAATGGGAAAATGGAGACCGATCAAAGCAGTTACTAGGGAAGATTAAGGACCTACGCGAAAAGCTCAGCGATGCCATTCACATGATATAATGATGGGGAGAGACGATTGGAACGGGTTCGTGTTCCTGAAACATTTCCAATTGACAAGGTAGCGATTGCAAAAATGAAGAGCTTTAATGCGGTTAAAACTGTACTCGATAACATAGAGGACCGGCTTGAGTTCTTCCATGTAAGTTTCTAGAATTTCTGCTTCTTATGGCCAATCAGAGTGAGGAATCAATGGACTATATGGTCTTCTCCATCTTCACCACTGACCATTTGTTCAAGTTATAGACTCACCAGGAAATGGACAACCAAGTTCGAATAGCTCAAAGAATATGGTCATAAAGCACCGTTGTTGGTATTCCTGTAGCTTTGGCTACCACCTTAAAAGTATGTAAGGTTATGTCCGATAGAGGGTATATGCAAACTTATTCCATGTGAAGGCGTCTATTATTTGAATTTCAAACCTGTAAGTGGACTTGTAGAATAAGCCATCTCAGTGCCTTTTACTTGATCACTTGTATCAGGTTAGATGCTCGTATCACTTGATGTCTCTCTCCCTTTTTTTATGGTAGGAGTGGAAATGGAGGAGGAGGAGCTAGTCTTCTCACTTTTCGAGCTCGAGTAGTATTGGTCAAGCATGTTGATTGGCGTGTTCCAAATCGAAACCATATCAAATACCAACTCGCAGGCGTTAATCATTATGAATCACTTTGCAACATTTGAATAGGTTCCCTTGTAACCAAGAGAAAATAACAATGAAGGATCCTCACCACAACTATCAGACTTCCTCGGTCTTCTGATGGATCTTCTTCGAGCTTCATGGGAACTCTACTTTTGAGCAGAATTCTTAATTTCTGCAGCAGCACCAACCCTTGTAATGAACAATTTGGTTGCCATAAATGACTAAATGCCTCGTCAAGCATTGGGTTCTAAAAGAACAGGCAGTCTTTGGTTCCATTGTACTTTGGTTTTGAAACTCTGCAACAGAGTTTTAGACAACTGCCAGAAACAGTAAGGGTATTTTAAGACAATATGTAAACAATAAGGGTAGAGTTAGTCAATTAGCTAAACCATAAAGGTAGTTTAAGAAATTTGCCCTTATTATTATTTTTTGAAATTTCTAGTGCAATGCACATGCACATTTACTAATACTGCCATAAAAAGTGGGTATAACTCCTCATAGCTTCTTGACGTTTTCATTACTAAAATACCCTTTTTTTGAATTTGGCTTCTTTGATTGTGAGTGTAAATTGTAATTTGAATACCAATTTTCAGCTCATTCTATTCCCTCCCATTCTCTCTCATTCAATCCTCTATTTAAGGGATTTTTGTTTCTCCCTATTAGATTCCATTAATAATTTATGAACGATAATTTTAACAATATAAAAGCCTATACTTTAAAACTGACCTAGAAATAAAATTGGTTTTTTACATGGTAGGTGAACACTTCAACCATATGAGTCAAAAAAGTGAATCCATGACGTCATATGTAGTGGATAAGCAATTCAACCATTTGGGTGAAATGGGCAAACCTATAGTTAATAAAATTTTTGATAGTAGAAAAAATTAAAAAAAATAGACACATCTTTAATATTAAATTTTAATCATATTAAAAAAATAAGTGTGGTAAACAAAAACTATTTTTACTCATGATGTAAAAGAAATGCATAATTTAAACTCGATCTGAAAACTAATGAAGTCGTTTTTCCATCTACGTGGTAGATCAATGATCCAATCTTTTGGATCAGTTGGGCCAACCCATGATGTCACAATGAAATAATAAATATTTAAAAAAATAATATCCATGAAAAATATAGTGTGGAAAATAAGAACTATTTTTAGTAATTACCAAAAATGGAAGACAAAATATAAAATCAACCCAAAATTTTTCTATCAAGGTGGTGAGTCAATGGTTCAACAATCTATGTCAAATGGGCTAACCCATAATGTCAAAATTAAATAATAAAAAATTAATAGTATATAGAAATATAGTAAGTTGTAAATAATTTAGAAATTTTATAGAAAAATATAAGCACATCTCAATATTACAAATTTTTCATATTAAAAAATAAAGGTGATAAACAAATTTTTTGTCTATGATGGAAAGAGATTTTATGTCCAACCATACCCCACTAACTATGTCAAAAAATTCAATGGTCCAATTAGCATGGTCACCATGTTAAAAGAGTCAAATTTTTTTTATAGGCAAACAATTTGGTGATAAATGGACCCAAAATCCTGGTTGGAAAACAGGTCCACCAGTCTAACCAATTGAATTGACCACAAGATAAAAAAATATTGACAAAAAAATCAATGTTCTAAAAATTGATTAGAACCACATTTCCCTCTTACTTAAACATTCAATTTATGATGCCATAAATTAAATAATAATTAAAAATACAAAACACATAAATATTATCAAAATTATAGAAATTTGAGCATGTCTCTTATGTTATATATTCATCATACCAAATAAAATGAGTGAAAATTGATAATTATTGTTATTAATGGTGAAAGTAGGTAAGGTATAACAAATAAAAAAGAAATTTAATGTCGTTATTCGTGGCATATTGACTTGGTCAAATAGATTAGCAGTTCAGCAATAGGTCAGTTGGTTGTTGACCAAATCTTTTTTTTTTCACTTTTTGCAAGAAAGCAGTTTGAGTTAGAAACATGCTCAAAAATTTGTCTCAATGTAAGATAAATCAAACCAGCTGTCCACTTGACTACAAATTGAAAATATTGATAAACCATGAAAATATTTGAAGCTAAGTCTTTAAGTCTTTAGGTTGAAAGGGAAAAAATCCACAAGTACACCATGCTTCAATTATTTATCATTGTTACATGGGTTTTGATTAGAGTACTAAAACTTTTATTATAATTAGCATCATCATCATCATCATCATTTAAAATTGACAAATGTGCAATGCATGTGCATATTTATTAGCATACTTAAAATGACCATTCACTCAATAGACATTGTACTTTATGGGCCATGGGCCAAAAGTTCACACCCTAACCTATTTTAAGATTCTTGGTCTTTATTCCTTTAAGTTATTGGTTTATTTTTCATTACTAGTAAGCATGCACATGGCAATTCTAGATGATGATAATGATAGTAAAAATGTATCCAAAATTTTCTATAAATATATACTTTTTTTTGTTTTTTATTATTAATTAGATGCAGATTACAAAATCCAAATTTGATTACATAAACACCTCATCTAAATATGTGATAATCGGATCGAGTTGTGAAGTTTCAATGTCATTGACAGGCTTACCCACTTGGCTAGATTCTTCTTTTTGTAATGTTTTATCTTTTTTATGTATATTTTTTTTTCTATTCATTTATCAATGTAAGATTTAAATAAAGGGAATTGAATGAAGTAAAACGTAGTAGTTCAATCTACATATTAAATCTCACAATTAAATAGGGACTAAATTAAAAAAATGAGTATTTTAGTCAAAAGAAATTTCCACAATCTTATTCATATTTTTAATAGTAGTGTAAATATAGAATTATAGATGTGTTCAAATTTTTCTATATATATTTTTTTTGTATTTCTATGTGTAAAAATAATTTTGATATGTCATGCTTACTTTTTTTAATATGATAGTTGTATGATATTATACATGTGCCTCAATGTTTTTTTTTATGTATTTTTTTCATTTTTGTATTTTATATTTTTTAATTTTTAATTATTTATTTATGACATTAAATGTTAACACATTTGGCCCAAAAGTTGAATTATTTATCTTTGCCAAATAGTAAAATAATTCCATTTTTGGTTAGTTCTAAATTATGTATTTCATTTTCATTATCAATAAAATTAATTCATGTTTATTACACTTATTTTTTTAATTTGATTAATAAAAATATCATAAATGTGCCTAATTTTTTCTACATTTTTGTAATTTTCTAAATTTATTTCTATTTTAAAAATTTTATTACCTAATTATGACTTCATAGGCTGCTCAATTTGATTTAGATGGTTGAATTGCTTAGCCTCCACTTGGATAAAGAATGGTTTTGTTATTGAGTCATTTTTAAAATATATGAGTTTATATTCCTAAAAATATTGACATCGATCTAATTAGTAGCATTTATTAGTAAAAAAATAACTTAAATATAGGATTTAATAAGAGAAAATGAGAGTTAGTACCTTAAGTATAAGACTAAATGAGAAGGGATTCAATGAGGTGAAAAGTAATAATTGAAGTTACATTTTAAACTCTTACAATTAGAGATGGAGTAAATAGACAAATATGGACATTTTAATATCCATTAAAGCTTAAATTAAAAGCTTTAATAAAATAACTTTTATACCCTTTCTTAAACAAAGAAATGGAGGGTAATTTTAGTCCAAAAAACCTCCACTCTACATATCCACTTTTATATATAGTATAAATAATTATATTTATAGTTATTTCTCCCCCTTAT